CGCGTTTCCTCGGTGACCCCCACCCCTCTCCACCCACCCCTGCAAGCTGGACTTTTCTCTCCTGGGGCCTGTGTTTTGGAGGGGTGGACAGGGTGTTCTGCCTTGGCCAGGGATATGGCCTCAGTATTTTAAAGTGAAATTTCAGGCTGAGTTTAGCTGCTTCCCCCCACCCCCAACCCCAAGGGTCGGGGGCTGGTGGAACGGGCAGGGTTGATGGTGAGGTCTGTAGTGGGACTTCTGCTGAGCAGATGTGCAGCCCGGCCCTGCAGCAGCTCATTAGTATGGATTTGTTTCAGAGACTGTTTTTGGTCTGCGGGCAGGAGGGTCTGCGGTAAGGAGGGCCATTGCCTGGGTTGAGGGGCTGGCACAGAGGTGGCCAGGGCTGGAAGGTATAGGCAGGCATGGGTGGCACGGGCTCAGCCCTGTGTGTCCACCCCCTGGACAGCTGATTCATGCTCTGCCTGGCCAGAGCCTCCCCAGTGCTGAAGGAAGGAAAGAAGGAAGCCTTCCTGCAGTGAGATGGGGTCGTGGAATCACAGTGGCCTTAAGCAGTATGCTGAAGCCAGGCTCCTCCCTGGGGGATCTGCTGAAATGGGCGTTCCCAGGCCAGGCTACCCATTTTATGGTTGCAAACATGAAGCTTAGGGAGGGGAAGCAAAGGGTCAGTGGCCTGAACTATAACCACTGGACTCTCCTGACTCCAGGCACACAGAGAGCCAATGTATGAGCTTTGGCCAGAATGCATCCTCAAACCCCAGGGTGAGCCCAGGAAACCCCGTCCGGCTGACCAGAGCCAGGGCCCTACCTGAGTGAGCAGGGAGCCCAGTTGTGACACTGCCTTGCCCCTTCCCAGAGGAACATTTTCAGTTGCACCATTCAAGGAAGTCCCTGTGCTCATTCCAAGACCTGGAGCGATCGCCCCGCCCTTGCCAAGCCCCAAGCCTAGGGCTGCAGCCCAGCCGCCCTCCACACCCTCTGCGCCCAGCAACACGCTCAGCCTGGTGGCAGGGCAGAGCCTGTTTTCTTGAAGTTGGATTCTGGGGGAGGTTGGTGTCTCCAGGACCCTGTCTTAGAGTCTGAGTGAGATCTTCCTTCCAGTTCCTCCCCGGCAGGGAATCATGTTGGGCAGCCCTTGACAGTTTCTAAAATCCATTCCCAGCCGTCTTCCCACTTGTTTGAGTTTCACCTTGAGATTTTCCCTAAATCCAGTTTCACTGGGGCAGATGCAGCCCAGACTGAAATAGCCTCAGGACCCACCCAGGATCCTGTGGGAGTGAAGGGCAGAAGGGAGCAGGCAGAGGCCCAGGGAGGGTAAGAAGCTCAAGCTGGCACTGAAGGCGACATGGACTGAGAAATTAACTATGATGGGCCATCTCGCCAGAGGCTCCCATGTATTCTTCAGTTTAATTTTCACAGCTGTCCTGTGAGCTGGACATTAGCACTGTCCCCACTTTGCAGATGAGGAAACTGAAGTACAGAAAGGTTAAAATGGGGTCAAGTGTTCCCATTGCTTTGGGAGGCTGAAGTGGGAGTTCAAGACCAACCTGGGCAACAAAGGGAGACCTCGTCTCTACAAAAAATACCAAAAATTAGCTAGGTATGGTGGTGTGTGCCTGTAGTACCCAGCTACTCAGGAGGCTGAGGTGGGAGGATCGCTTGAGCCTCAGAGTTTGAGGCTGCAGTGAGCTATGATGGTGATACCACATTCCATCCTGGGCAGCCGAGTGAGATCCTGTTATAAACAAAAACATAAAAATAAAGAGAAAGATTAGGATGACTGAGCTCAGATTTGAAGCCGAGCCTGTCATAATTTGTGGAGAATGGAGGAGGAGGACCAGACTGTGCCCTTAGTGTGGGGGGAGAGGAGAGGTAGGAGAGGCAGGGAAGGGGGAGCATCTGGTGTGAAAGCCACCAGCCACAAAGGCTGCGTGCTCATGTGTGTGCAGAGCGCAGTGTCACCTGAATGCTGAGCCCACAGGTAGTATCGTCCATCCCCATCAGCTGGGGCCAAGTGTGGGAAGGTTCCCAGAGGAGGTTCTGGAAGCAGGAGGTGAAAATGGGGAGGGCGAGCCCACCTTTCCACCACGGATTGGCCAGGCCTGCCCTCCATGGCTCTGCACCTAGTGATTGCTGGAATGGGTAACAGGAAAGGCCTGGTGTGTGTGTGTGTGTGTATGTGTGTGTGTGTGTGTGTGTGTAAGAGAAAGAGAGCAGGTACTTGTGCAGATGTGCATTTTTTGTACGTATATAGGCACGCTTATATATGCATGTGTCCGTGTTGTGTTTTCATAGGGGCACAGGTGGTTTGGGGTATGCCTGCTTTTGAGTGCGTGTGTGGGTATGGGGTGAGTGGATATATTCTACGTTGAAAATTCTGGTGTATCTGGCCTTCAGCGACCCTGAATATTCAGACTTAACCCGAAAGAGGAACTGGGGAGGATGGTTCACTTGTTATAACGAAGCTGATCCGCTCTACAAAGGGTTTGCGGTGGGCAGGAGTCAGGAGGAGGTGTTCCTTGAAATCTAGGCTGCTCTTGTGTATTTAGCGGGCATTTCGGATGCCTTTCCAGGTCCTAAATCCAGGCAGTGGGCTGAGGGGGCGCCAGCAGCAGTGCTGTTAATCAAGGCCCCTTTCCTGGGGGCGGGGAGGCTGTCGCTCCTGGCCTGGCTGGGTCTTGGAGTCCCGTGGCGAGCACATTCAGGTACCCAGGCTGTGCCTCAGACGTGGGGGGTGTCACACGAGGAGGGCCGGGTCCGGCGTCTTCAGTTTTGGCAGGCATTTCTGAAAAGGGACTGTGCAGGCCTGACCCCGAAGCTGGCCTTGCTGGGGGACCCTCTGGATCAAGGCTTCTAGGAGAGCAGTTAGGGTAGGGCTGCTGTGTTTGTTCTCTGCCCTCTTCCCCAGAGTGGGAGCTACAGGTGGGTCACTTCCTGGACCTGTGCCTCGGTTTTCACAGTGCCAAAATGGGTCTGCTGGTGTCACCTCCCAGGGAACTTCCTTTCTGTGTGGGCAGCAGCTCAGAATGTACCAGGCATTTGCAGGAGGCTGCCGAGGAAGTGGAGGGCTTGGATTTGGGAGTGGTGGGTAGGTGGGGTTGGGAAGAAGGCACTCACCTGTGCTAAGGACACCTCCTTTAAAGCCCCACAGCGCCCCTGGGAGGAAGGATAGTGTCACACATACGTTTACCAGGGTTCCAAGACCCAGGGTCGGTCATGGCCACCAGATGGTCAGCTAGGGAGTCGGGAATGGGATTTGAATTCTGGTCTATGGGGCCCCCAAGCTTCCAGCCCAGGCAGTGGCTGAGCGGCAGGGCTCTAACAGAAATGAGAGGCACAGTCACCTGGGGCAGTGGCATGAGCTCCAGGCCTCCTCCTGACTCCAGATTCCATCCTTTCTTGCTTCTTTCTCTTCTGTCAACCTTTTAACCTGCGTGGGGGTTAACCTGATGCTGTTCAGGTTCAAATCCCGATTCTCCTGTTTCCTAACAGTGTAAGTCCAAGCAGATTTCTTAGCCTCTCTGTGCTTCAGTTTCTGCATCTAAAAATGGAGGGAAGAATAGGGTTAGGCAGTTGTTGCAGGACAGAATAAATTAATATCTGCGCCAGGTGCGGTGGCGCACGCCTGTAATCCCAGCACTTTGGGAGGCTGAGGCGGGCTGATCACGAGTTCACGAGTTCAAGATCAGCCTGACCAACATGGTGAAACCCCGTCTCTACTAAAAATACAAATTTAGCTGGGCGTGGTAGCGTATGCCTGTAATCCCAGCTACTGGGGAGGCTGAGGCAGGAGAATCTCTTAAACCCAGGAGGCAGAGGTTGCTGTGAGCCAACATTGTGCTATTGCCCTCCAGCCTGGGCAACAAGAGCAATACTCCGTCTCAAAAAACAAAAAATTCATATCCAGTCACATGCCACATAATGATGAACCACATACACGATGGTGCTGCCATAAAATGATGATTATTGTTTTGAGATGGAGTCTCACTCTGCCCCCCAGGCCGGAGTGCAGTGGTCCCTGTAGCTGGGACTACAGGCGTGCACCACCACACCTGGTTAGTTTTTGTATTTTTAGTAGAGACGGAGTTTCACCATGTTGGCCAGGTTGATCTTGAACTCCTGAACTCAAGTGATCTGCCCACCTTGACCTCCCAAAATGGGATTACAGGCCTGAGCCACTGCGCCTGGCCTTCCGTGGGATTATAATACCATATTTTTGCTACACCTTTTCTTTCTTTCATAATTGCATTATGAAAGATGGCACAATCCTGGCTCACTTCAGCCTCAACCTCCCAGGCCATAGTGATCCTCTTACCTCAGCCTCCCAAGTAGCTGGGACCACAGGCACATGCCAGTACACTTGGCTAGTTTTTTAATTTTTATAGAGATGAGATCACCTTTTGTTGCCCAGGCTAGTCTTGAACTCCTAAGCTCAAGCAATTCTCCCACCTTGGCCTCCCAAAGTGCTGGGATTATAGGTGTGAGCCACCATGCTTAGCCTACTATACGTTTTCTATGTTCAGATGTCACTCGCCATTGTGTTACAGTGGCCTGCAGTGTTCAGTACAGTCACATGTGGTCCGGATTTGTAGCCTAGGAGCAACTAGGTGTGAGTAGGCTAGACTCTTCAGGTTTGAATTCGCTGTGTGATGTTCACAGACCGACAAAATCACCTAATGGTACATTTCTCAGCGCGCATCCCCATGGGTAAGTGATGCATGATTGTAATTGCACTTATATTTAATTCAGAATGAAGAAGCTCTGCTGTCCTCCTGAGAGCCAGCTCTGACTGCCCCGACTCAAAACAACTGCCTCCTGTTTACCCACATCCCTGGACCTCCCCTCAGGGCAGTGTCCGGTGGGCATAGGGTCTGGGGCCTCAGCTCCCTGCCCTCACTGTTGCCTCTCTCCCCGCCCTCCCTCCGAGAAGTGAGTGAGTATGAACTGCAGGGAGCTGAACGGCCCAGGGCAGGGCATTGCTTTGCCTGACTTGCCGGGGGCCTTGGGACAGCTCCCTTGCAGAGCAGGGGGACTTGGCCTGGGAGGTCTTCAACTTCCCTTCCCGCCCTTGCTTTCGGGGAGTCCCATGACTTGCTGTGTGACCTTCAGGGTGGGAGGAAGGGTTGCGAATTTGGGCGAGGCTCTCAAGGCTCAGGAAGGAAAGTATGATGGCTGCTTAAAAAAAAATAGCTGAGTTGCTGCTTGAAAAAAAAAAAGCGTAAACCAACGAAAAAGAAAACCTGCTGGCTAAGAGCCCACCCCACTGGTGGGGGCAGCCTGGGCTCTTCGGGGCTGGGCAGGCGGGCGGGAGGAGGTAGGTGTGTCTGGATGGCAGCCGTGTGTGGGAGAGACTTCACCTGGCTTCCTCGCTGTCTCCTGTTCCAGCCCAGCCTTTCCTGTGATCCTCTGGGGGTTGGAGAGCTGACCTTAGTGGGTGCCTCCTTGATGCTGAATACCTTCATTTTCTCCTCCCAGTGCTTCTCCAGGGAAGGCACAATGCTTCCCACATTAGGGTTGAGAAAGGTTGGCTCTGAGGAGTGAACTTATTTCTGGGAGTCACACAGCTCCTAAGGGGAGGGGCTGCCGTTCAAATATTGGGGACTGCAGGGTTCACGCTTCTGGGGGGGGTGCCCGTGGAGAATGCTGGAGCTCCACGCTGCGGGCCTAGGGAGGCCATGGCCCCAGCGCCCTGTCAGTGCCTGTTGGGTTGGGTTACAGCACCCCTCTGTGGGCACAGCTGGCCCTGTGGTGAACTCAGCTGTGCACTGGCAAGGGTAGAAGGTAAGGAGGGACCTTAGTTCATCTCATTTCTCCTAACCTCTGCCCCAGCCTGACCCTGATAACCAGTTCCTGATCTCTGGGCCTCCTCCCAAATGTCCCCATTACTCCATCTCCCAGTAAGCCTTCATTAGCCTCAGCTGCAGTCTCAACACTCGCTTCAGCCTGGTCCTGACCCACGGCCTCAGTTGTGACCTCTCCTGATTCCATCTCCTGGGATGAGGCTGGAGTGCTCATCCGAGCCTCCCTCCCTCTGTTGGACCTTCCCTCCCTGCCTTCCTCCCTTCCTTTCTCTTTTCTTTTCTGTCCTTTTTTTCCCCCCTTTCCCTTTCCACAGGTTCTTGCTCTGTCACCCAGCCTAGAGTGCAGGGGCACAATCATGGCTCACTGCAGCTTCAAGCTCCTGGTCTCAAGCCATCCTCCCGTCTCAGCCTCCCACATAGCTGGACTACAGGTGCACATCACAATGCCTGGCTATTTTATTTTTTTTAGAGACCAAATCTCACTTTACTGCCCAGGCTAGCCTTGAACTCCTGAGCTCAAGCAATCCTCCTGCTTTGGCCTCCCAAAGTGTTGGGATTACAGGTGTGAGCCACCACGCCCGGCCCAGGCTACTTTCATTACAACCTCAGTCTCAATTCCACATCCACATCACTTCCTGCCCCAGCCACCTCCTTGCCCCCTGTGACCTGTTGTTCCTGAGGAAGCAAGGTGGGGTCAGATACAGGAGGACAAGAGTCCCTGGCCCTCTCCAAGGGCCTAGGGGGCCAGTCCAGCCCAGAGAGGGCCCAGGGGGTCCTGGCCTTAAATGGACCTGCAGGGCCCTTCAGGTATGCCGTGGGCAGACCCTGACTCAGGACTCAGGAAGCCTCCTGCATGCCAGGCTTGTTGAAAAGTTCATCAGTTTGCCAGTTAGGAAGGAATCCATTCTATTTTGTTAGGATGTGGTTGTACTGGAAACATGGGCTTTGTCAGTGAGACCGGAAATGCGTGGGTGAGAGCCTTGTGACAGGAACTCATCTGGGATGGTGTGGGGGGGCAGCCTGTCCAACCTCACTTCCAGCTGCCCTTCCTCCCCAGGGGGCTGGGAGTGGAGCTCATCCCAGCATCGGGGTCCCCTGAGATGGAGACCAGCAGGAGAGGGGCAGGAGCTGGGGGAGTGTGCTGGATGGGGAGCAGAGTGCCAGGGGGGTGGTCACAGCCCTGCAGGAGCCGTGCCCAGCCAGCCCTACTTGAGATCCCCGCTCCCCAGACACTTCATAAGGTACTTGGCTCTGGGCCGGGTGCAGTGGCTCATACTTGTAATCCCAGCACTTTCGGAGGCCAAGGTGGGCAGATCACTTGAGGTCAGGAGTTCCAGATCAGCCTGGCCAACATGGTGAAACCCCATATTTACTAAAAATACAAAAGTTAGCTGGATGTGGTGGTGAGTGCCTGTAATTGCAGCTACTCTGGAGGCTGAGGCAGCAGAATCCCTTGCACCTGGAGGTGGAGTTTGCAGTGAGCCTACATCACATCACTGCACCCCAGCCTGGGTGACAGAGTGAGACTCTGTCTCAAAAAAATAGATGGATAAATAAAAATAAAATCATAAACTACTTGGCTCTGCCATCCCCACAGTCCATAGTAGGATTGTCCTAAATGGGATGCCCAGTCCCAAGCCACCTGACTCCTGGTGCTGGGCTTTTATGGAACCAGTGGGACCAGGACCTGTCCCTCCTGATTCAGCCTTACTTTATCTTTTACAGGGACTGTCCCAAAATAAAGAACCCTTGACTGAGTGCAGAGCTGCTGAGGAAGCCTGATCAAAATGCAGACTCCTCCCCACTCTAGAACTTTTACTACAGGAGTACCCAGGGAATTCTGATAGTTTGTCATGTTTGGGAACCGTGGGGCTGGGTCACTGCACTCACTTTAAAGTTGTGGGGAAACAGGCCTGAGTGTCCTGGTCACAGGCACATGTGGATACATGCCCCTTCTCCATTGTCCTGTCCTCTGTGGGTTTGGGGGTCTCCTCGAAGAAGGCTCTGCCCTCATCTCTGAATCTCGATGAAGCCGCCCTCCTCCATGCTTTTTGCAGTGGGTGAAACTCATTGGCGTGTGTCTCCTACAAGCAGAATCCTTTGACACACACTGCCCTGCAGCACCACCTTCTGGCAGATCCTGGTATTGTTTTAGTATCTCACTCCATCCTGTAGTGGGGCAATTTGCAGATAGCCAAGTGCTTGGCTTTGATTGGCTCCCGCTTGACTCCGGATGGGGCTGGTAGTGATCCACGTGGACTTGTGGATTCGAGTTTCTGGTGAGGCATCTTAGAAAGCAATACTGGCCGAGCGTGGTGGCTCATGCCTGTAATCCCAGCACTTTGGGAGGCTGAGGTGGGCAGATCACAGTGTCAAGAGATTGAGACCATCCTGGCCAACATGGTGAAACCCTGTCTTTACTAAAAATACAGAAATTAGCTGGGCATGGTGGCATGCGCCTGTAGTCCAAGCTACTAGGGAGGCTGAGGCAGGAGAATTGCTTGAACCTGGGAGGTGGAGGTTGCAGTGAGCTGAGATTGTGCCACTGCACTCCAGCCTGGCACCTGGCGACAGAGTGAGACTCTGTCACAAAAAAGAAAGAAAGAAAGAAAGCAATACTGTCTGGTTCAGGGTCAGTTTTTTTGCCTGAGGTCTGGCCAGCCAGGGTGGCCCACGAAGTCACAGCAGGCCAGGTGCGGAGGCTCATGCCTGTAATCCCAGCACTTTGGAAGGCTGAGGCAGGAAGATCACTTGAGCCCCAGGAGTTTGAGACCAGCCTGGGCAACATGGTGAAACCTGGTTTTTACAAAAATTAGCTGGGCATGGTGGCGGACACCTGTAGTCCCAGCTACTTGGGAGGCTGAGTTGGGAGGATCACCTGAGCCAGGAAAGTCGAGGTTGCAGTGAGCCATGATCATGCCACTGCACTCCAGCCTGGATGACCGAGTGAGTCCTTTCTCAAAAACCAAAACCAAAAATCACAGCAACGCGAAGGTTAAGGCTAAGTTTTCAAACATCAGAATCCTGCCAGCTGCTGCAGCGGCTTTCCAGGAGACATGGTGTGTGGCCAGCTACTCCAGGGCTGTGTAGACGACGTTTTGTGCATTTTCCTGGATGACCCACAGGGTCAAAGGGAGAAACGTAGCAGTTGTTCAGCACTTGACACGTGCTTGAACACTTCGTGACTGCAATCCTTCGCCATGCAGTGGCACCACCTCCCCTTTTTAGATGAAAAAAACCAAGGCACCAAGATAAAAAGTCACTTGCTCAAGGCAGCATAGGAAGTTATGAAACCAATCAACACATACGGAATGTGCATATCTGCTAGGCTGAGTTAATATCCCATTTGACCTTGCAGACACCCATCTGATGTAGGTACTACTCCCAGCTCCAATTGTGGGATTCAGAGTGGAGAAATAACTTGTCCAAAGTTGCACTTGGTTAGTAAATAGGAGGGCTGGGGTTGTGCCGTGGAGTCAGATGCCAGAGTCCATGCTGTAACACCACTGCCGCGCCCCCCCACCCCCAGGCCCTACTGTGCCTCACCTGGCACCTGTGCTCTGTTCCAGGGCTCTGGAGGCCACGGGCATGATGCTTCAGGTCCTGGTGGGGGCTGTCCTCCCTGCCATGCTGCTGGCTGCCCCACCGCCCATCAACAAGCTGGCACTGTTCCCGGACAAGAGTGCCTGGTGCGAGGCCAAGAACATTACCCAGATCGTGGGCCACAGTGGCTGTGAGGCCAAGTCCATCCAGAACAGGTGGGACCCAAGGGGTGGGTGGGGGAATGCGGATGGGGGTCCCAAGGAGGGAGAAACAGGGACGAGGGCTGTCTATCCCTGCCTCCCCAACAGTGACACGCATGGTGCCCTCTCCTCCCACAGGGCGTGCCTAGGACAGTGCTTCAGCTACAGCGTCCCCAACACCTTCCCACAGTCCACAGAGTCCCTGGTTCACTGTGACTCCTGCATGCCAGCCCAGTCCATGTGGGAGATTGTGAGTACTGCCAGCCTGCCCCACCCATCCTCAACCCAGAGCTTGCCCGGGCCTTGGCCTTTCTCCCCAGCCTCCTGCCTTCCAGCAGGTGGCCGCAGCGGTGTAGCAAGGCCCAGCTGTGTGCAGGGTAAAGGGCTGGGAATACAGATGTGGGCCCCCCACAGGATGGCTCAGAAGTCTGACCAACTTGTACAGGACAGGGATCTTCCCGAAGCTCCATTCTGATGCCTCTTATGGGCTGAAGTCCTTTCAAGGGCTTCCTGTTGTTATAGGATGAGACCAAAGTCTTTGCCCTGCCCCAAGAGCCTGGCGTGGCCTGGCTCAGCAGACTTTTCAGGCTTCTGCTGCTTCCCGCCCTCCTCACTAGCTTGGCACTTGACACAGCTGCCTCTGTTCAGTCCCTCGCACTTGCTTTGCTCACTCGTACCCCAAGGCCCTTGCCCCTGTCCTTTACCCTGCTTGGAACACCTTCTTCCCCCTCCTCCTTACCTAGTTCATTTCTATTCATTCTTCTGCTCTTATCCCAAGCAGCATTTTCTCAGGGCCCCTTCCCAGGCCCCCTGACTGGGCCACACCCCGCACCGTTGGCTCTCAGAGTGCACAGCGTGCCTCCGCTTCAAGCACCTGTCACACCTGCAGTCTTCCACCTGCATCCGGGTGATTTTGACAGGTCTCTTTCCCCCGATAGACTCTGATTTCCTTGGGGGAAATGTGTCTTCGTGTCCTCAGAGCTGGCACAGGGTAGGCACTCTGTGGAAGGGAGGGAGGGAGGAAGAGAAGAAGGGAGGGAGAAGGAAAGAAGGTACTTAGATGGGCGATGATAGGGGCAGAGTAAGAGGCAGATGGGGTTCCTGCAGGGCGAGCCTCAGCTGGGCTGGGGCTTTGGGGTGGAGCTCTTTTGAGGCGGTAAAGTCTGAGCTCAGATTCAAAGGCACAGTTGGGGGCAAGTGGTAGTGGGGTGGGTTGGGGAATCTTCCAGGCCAAGGAACAGCGTGTGCAAAGCCCTGAGGCAGAGCTAAAGCACAGAATGGTTGGGAGTGGCACTGGGTCAGGGATAGGGAGGCCAGCCAGCCAGCAGCACCTGAAGGCCCTGGGTGGCCTTAGTGAGGGGTCAGGATTTGTCTCCAAGTGCAGGGGGATGGGGACAGTGAGGGGATTTTAGAAGGGGCGGGCCACACTGGATTTCCCTGTGGCTGCTGGTGGGGAATGGGTGGGGAGGTAGCAGGTCTGGTGTGAGGAGACAACTCTGGTGGCTTGTGCCAATTTCCCCTTCCCCATGGGACCCTGGAGCTAACTGGGGCATCACAGGTGGGCGCTGGGGTTCTTGGTCACATGAGGAGGTATTATCTTAGGGGCTTCCTCCCCTGCCCCAGGCCTTTGGAAGCATCCCTGCCCTTCTCTCTTTCCCTCTGCAGGTGACGCTGGAGTGCCCGGGCCATGAGGAGGTGCCCAGGGTGGACAAGCTGGTGGAGAAGATCCTGCACTGTAGCTGCCAGGCCTGCGGCAAGGAGCCCAGTCACGAGGGGCTGAGTGTCTATGTGCAGGGCGAGGACGGGCTGGGCTCTCAGCCTGGTGCCCACCCTCACCCCCATCCCCACCCCCACCCTGGCGGGCAGACCCCTGAGCCCGAGGACCCTCCTGGGGCCCCCCACACGGAGGAAGAGGGGGCTGAGGACTGAGGCCCCCCGATTCTTCCTCCCCTCTCATCCCCCTGTGGAGTTTTGGGTCTCACCCTCCTGGGAGGAGTCGGGGGAGAGGCTGAAGCCCCCCTTTGGCACTGGATGGACTTGGATTCAGACTTGGACTTGGATTCAGACTCGGACTTGGAATGCTGCCCGGTTGCCATGGAGATCTGAAGGGGAGGGGTTGGAGGCAAGCTGCACAATTTAATATATTCAAGAGTGGGGGGAGGAAGCAGAGGTCTTCAGGGCTCTTTTTTGGGGGTGTCTCTTCCTGTCTGGCTTCTAGAGATGAACCTATGGGAGAGGGAGGAAGTTGGCTAAGCCGCTGAGTCAGGGGGAAGGCCATCCAAGATGGCGTGAACCAGGCTAAGGTGTGTGGGGGTGCAGATGGTCCTGCCGAGGTTTGGCGCTTAGGGTGAGCATCTTGCAAGCCTCAGCCTTGAGGGAGGGGCTGGGCTAGAAAGACCGCTGGCAGAAACAGGAGGCTCCAGCTCCACAGGCTTCCCCCAAGGCCCCTCACCCCACTCCCCATCCCCAGAGAAGCACTGCCCCAATGGCACTGAAGTGGCCCTTCCTCAGCGGAGGGGTTTGGGAGTCAGGCCTGGGCAGGACCCTGCTGACTTATGGTGCTGGAGCTGGGCGCCAGGCTCTCTGGGCCTTTCTCTGGCTGTCTTGGCTTGCCTGGTGGGGGAAGGGGAGGAGAGGAAGGAGGAGAGGGAGGAGTCTTCCAAGGTCAGAGGGAGGCGGACAACTCCCCCCAGACAATCCCCGAAGATGAGCATCCCCCTCCTCTCCCTGTTAGAAACGTTAGTGTACCCCCACTGTCCCCCAAGTTCTAGGCCCCCCAGAAAGCTGTTGGAGCGGGCCCCTTCTCCCAGGGATGCTCTTTCTAAATATCGGATGGGTATGGGAGTGAGGGGTTACCTCCCTTGCCCCAAGGTTCCAGAGGCCCTAGGTAGGATGGGCTTGGGCTGAGCCTCGAGGAACTCCAGGACAAGGATGACGTCTGGCTTGCGGGCTCTCTGTAGCTCCCCAGTTCTGCCTGCCTCCTCCCTCCCAGCTGCACTTTAACCCTAGGTGGGTGGGGACCTGGGGGGAGGGGCAGGGCAGGCAGGCCGTGAAGAAAGCCCCTCTGTGCCCAGAACTGCCTGCGTCTGCTCTTCTGTGCCAGCCCACTGCCTCCTGCCTGGCGTGTCCCAGCTCTCCTGGCTGTTGCGACTCGGGCTTCTGGAGCTTGTCACCATTGGCTGGTCTCCCTGACGGACCCTCAGTCTTCTTATGAATAAATTCCTTCAACGCCTGTGTTCTCCTTACTGACTGGCTCTGCCAATGCAGGTTCTCTGCAAGTGCTGGTGGCAAGTCCCAGGGGCAGCGGGCCTGGGCTCAGGCAGGGGATGCTGAGCAGACCTGCCAGCCCCTGTCACTGCATCGTGGTGGCCCTGTTCCTGTCCTGCCGTGTGCACCTTGGCTCCTGATCCTCCGTCTCCTCAGCTCCCACTGCTTTCCTCGGGTGCCATTTTCTGGCCTCAAATACACCTTGGGTGGGCCTCCAGAACTGGACTTCATGGATTTTGACCTGTCTCCTGGGCTTGCCTCGTGCCATCTCTTTTCACCCACACAATGGCATAGCATCAGCCCCCGCCTGGGCTTGGCCTGCCTGGGTCCCAGGAGATGGGGAAAATGGACAAAAGTATTGGTTACAGGGCCAGGCGCGGTGGCTCACTCCTGTAATCTCAGCACTTTGGGAGGCCGAGGTGGGTGGATCACTTGAGGTCAGGAGTTCAAGACCAGCCTGGCCAACATGGTGAAACCCTGTCTTAAAGTATTGGTTACAAATTAACATATAAGGCTGGTTCCTGTGCTGGGTCCTCACCCAGTCCAACCACCTCCCAGTGATGTAGATATTGTCCTCATCTTATACATCAGGCATCTGAGGTGCAGGCACTGGCAGTTTTCCCAGGGTCATGTGTTGAAGAAATGTCCCCAACAGGACTTGAGCCCAGGCATCTGTCCGGGGCCCACATCAAGCTTAGGGACGCCAGCACTCATTTATCATTCAGCAAGTCCATAGTAGGACATTTTACATTTGTTTATTTTTTTTGAGACAGAGTCTTGCTGGAATGCAGTGGCTTGATCTCGGCTCACTGCAACCTCTGCCTCCCGTGCTCAAGCGATTCTCCTGCCTCAGGCTTCAAATAGCTGGGATTACAGGCACCTGCCACCAGGCCCGGCTAATTTTTGTATTTTTAGTAGACACAGGGTTTCACCATGTTGGCCAGGCTGGTCTCGAACTCCTTTTCTCATGTGATCCATCTACCTTGGCCTCCCAAAGTGCTGGGATTACACCACCTGGCCCTTATTTGTTCTACAGGGTGGGAAACGAGGGCTCTGGAAGCACAGGTGACTCACATAAGCTCCCAGTTCCCTTGATTCTTGGCCTCACACCTGCACACCTAATGGCAGCACAGTCTTGGGCAGGACCTGCTTCCATCGTGTGTCTGGAGCAAAGCTGGGTATACATTCGTAGGTACATAAAGAAATAAGGGCTGGGCTCAGCGGCTCACGCCTGTAACCCCAGCACTTTGAGAGGCCGATGCAGGAGTATTGCCTGAGCAACAAAAAGTGAGATCCTGCCTCTATAAAAAATAAAATAATTAGCCAGGTGTGGTGGTATGTGTCTGCAGTCCCAGCTACACGGGAAGTTGAGGAGGGAGGATTGCGTGATCCCTGGAGGTTGAGGCTTCAGTGAGTCATGTTCATGTCACTGCACTCTAGCCTGGGTAATAAGAGTGCGACCCTGTCCAAAAAAAAAAAGGAAAGGAAGGGAAAGAAGGGAGGGGGAGGAGGGGAGGGAAGGGCAGGGTCTGTTGGAAATAAAGCAGGAAGGTGGGTTGGTCTGGCTGGTGCAGCCGGGAATGCCAGCCAGAGTTCAGACTTCATTCTCTTTGCATTGAGGCACCCTAGAGGTGTCTGTGCAAAGCTGGGTTTCAAGAGACTAAGCTGGGTTGAAGGAGGGAGATGCTGAGGCCATCAGGGGTGACTGCAAGTGTGCAGGTGGGAGAGGATGGGGCCGGTTAGGTCGGGAAGTGGGGTTGGAGAGGTGGGGCTGTGAGAAGTGTTGCTGGTTGGATGTGGGAACCCAGCGAGAGGGAGGAGCCTGGCTTGAGAGACATCAATTGAGAAGCATCCTTAGGTGTGCCAGCTTTTGGGCATGGAGGGAATTGCATCCTCCCCCAGTGAGGGGGGACCAAGTCTTTCCAAGGGATTAATACTGATACCAGTGCAGATAGCAACGCAGACCCTTCTCTTTTCACTTTGTTTGCCTGTATGGAGCCAGCTTTCAACTGGTTTTCCTCCTCTGCTCCCAGCCTTTGAGGAGATCGAGTCTGCTTGGGTTCAAATCCTAGCTGGATCACTTCCTGACTACAGACTTGAGCAAGTCACATAAGATCTCCGAGGCTCAGGTTTCCTATATGCAAAATGGGGAATAATAGTCATACCTACCTCACTCTTAGGGTCGCAGTGAGCATTACATGAGTCAACACACATGCAGAGCTTGGAACATGCCTGGCCTTAGTAAGACCTCAGTGGATGTCAGCTGTTATTATGACTGAGAATGAATGATTGGCCCATGCTGCAGGCGGTCACACTGATAGTTTTGTACATGTATTCATTCATTGAACAGATGTTTATTGAGAGCCTAATACATGCCAGAGATCCAGCTGTGAACTGGACAGGCAGGTCACTGCCTTCAGGGAGTTTACCCAGTTGGTCATTGCCTTCTGGCACAGAGCAGCTTTGGTCAGGCCAGGCAATGTCGCTGGGGCCTTGATTTCTCCCTCTGTGTCCTGAGGAGCTTGCCCCAGTTCTCTGTGTACTGACAGGCATGGAGGTCTGGAGCTGACAACTCCTTAAAACTCAGCTGTTCCATAGTGACACCTGCTATCTCCTCTGGGCAGGAACCCCTCCTGACTAGAAGTAATCAAGCAAAAGCTGAGGATTCTTGAAGGTCCCTCTTGGCCAGGCACAGTGGCTCATGCCTGTAATCCCAGCACTTTGGGAGGCTGAGGCAGACGGATCATGAGGTCAGAAGTTCAAGACCAGCCTGGCTAACAAGGTGAAACCCTGTCTCTACTATAAATACAAAAAAAATTTAGCAGGGCATGGTGGTAAGCATCTGTATTCCCAGCTACTCCGGAGGCTGAGGCAGGAGAATCGCTTGGACCCTGGAGGTGGAGGTTGCAGTGAGCCAAGATCACACCACTACACTCTGGCCTGGGTGACAGAGTGAGACTCTGTCTCAAAGAAAAAAAAGTCCCTCTTTACCCTGAAATGTTAAGAGGTCTAGGACTTCTGTATTTCATGACCCAAATGACAGTTATAGGAGCAAACACATGAAGCGTTTGTAAAGGTCTCAGCCGGGTGTGGGGCTCATGCCTGTAACTCTAGTGCTTTGGAAGGTTGAGACAGGAGGATCACGGGATCACTTGAGGCCAAGAGTTTGAGACCAGCTTGGGCAATACGAGAAGACCTTGTCTCTACAAAAAAACTTAAAAAATGTAGCTGGGTGTGGTAGTGCACACCTCTAGTCCTAGCTACTTGGGGAAGATAGCTTGAACAGAGGAGCTTGGGGTTAAAGTGAGCTACGATAGCATCACTTCCTCCAACCTGGGCCACAGAGGGAGACTCTTGTCACTAAAAAAGAAAAAAAAAATTTCAAGTTCAAGATAATAAGAGTACAGCCACAAGGTGGCACCATGACCCTGGCCCAATTTTAAAAATCTTAAACTGGGTGCGGTGGCTCATGCCTGTAATCCCAGCACTTTGGGAGGTGGAGGTGGGTGGATCATGAGGTCAGGAGTTCGAGACCAGCCTGACCAAGATGGTGAAACCCTGTCTCTACTAAAAATACAAAAATTAGCTGGGCATGGTGGCACGCACCTGTAATCCCAGCTACTCCGGAGGCTTGAACTCAGGAGGCGAAGGTTCCAGTGAGCCGAGATTGTCCCACTGCACTCCAGCCTGGGTGACAGAATGAGACGCCATCTCAAAAAAAAATTTTTTTTTAATATTAGTACCACCATATTATAATAAACATCAGTGGATCCATCACCCAGGATGAACAAATGTTAAAGTTATTGCTGGGTTTTCTTTGGTTGTTTGTCTGTTTGAGATGGGTTCTCACTGTCACCCAGGTTGAAGTTCAGTGGCTATTCACAGGTGTGATCATAGCTCACTGCAGCCTTGAACTCCTGGGCTCAAGTAATCCTCCCATGTAAGTCTCAAAAGTAGCCAAAACTAGAGTCATGCACAACCATGCTTGGCTAATCTTTAAGTCTTTTTTTTTTTTTTTGAGACGGAGTTTCGCTTTTGTTACCCAGGCTGGAGTGCAATGGCACGATCTTGGCTCACCGCAACCTCTGCCTCCTGGGTTCAGGCAATTCTCCTGCCTCAGCCTCCCGAGTAGCTGGGACTACAGGCACGCGCCACCATGCCCAGCTAATTTTTTGTATCTTTAGTAGAGATGGGGTTTCACCATGTTGACCAGGATGGTCTCGATCTCTTGACCTCATGATCCACCCGCCTCAGCCTCCCAAAGTGCTGGGATTACAGGCTTGAGCCACCATGCCCGGCCTCTTTAAGTCTTTTTTAAAAATAAAAGATACCAAGTATTGTGGGAAAAGTGAAAGGAGAAAGGCTAATATTCTAAGCACTATGTACAGATTTTTACAAAGCAAACATGTATCAGGCAAAACTGTTTACTCATCCCAGTCACATCTCCACTGCCTTGGTTTCATAGCAGCAGAGTATTTAAGAGGCTTTGCACAACCTCACAGAGCAAGTGGCAGACTCTGGATGATGAACTCAGGTTGCTGAACTCCCAAATTCTTCCACACAGCACCTCTCAGGGTTACAGTTGTCCATGTCAGAAATCCCTGGGCTTAAGGAGTAAGCACAGAGCTGAATTTATTACCATTGTACAGATGGGAACACTAAGGCCAAGAGCTAGCACTTTGTTTTTGTTTTTGAGATGCAGTTTCGCTCTTTTTGCAGTGGCGTGATCTCAGCTCACTGCAAGCTCCGTCTCCTGGGTTCAAGTGAATCTCCTGACTCAGCCTCCTGAGTAGCTGGGATTACTCCACTACACCCGGCTAATTTTGTATTTTAGGAGAAACAGGGTTTCACCATGTTGGCCAGGCTGGTCTTGAACTCCTGACCTCAGGTGATTCCCAAAGTGCTGGGATTACAGGCGTGAGCCACCACGCCTGGCCACCTAGCATAGTACCAAAGACACAGATTACATCAGTGTCATTTCATCCCCTCAGCAGCTGTGTGAGGTGGGTGCTGTATTGTTCTGCTAACTATTGCAGAAGAGAAAACTGTGACTTGAAGAGATGGAGCCACTGGCCCTGGATCCCAGAGCTGGGATGGAGCTGGGATCCCAAGCCAGGTCTTTCTGACTCTCCGCGCAGGCTTGGTGTACTACATCCTGTTCCTTGGGGTCATGGTAGAAATATTGCACAGTGGTGCAGTGTGGTGGCAAGGAGGAAGGACAGGCCCCCTCTATCTGCTTAAAAGATGTGTCTACAGGCAAGACTGAGGCTCTGAGCACCAAACAGCAGCTTAAGAGTTGTCGGAGGGGGCGGGGCGGGGGTGGCGTGCTGGAGGCTGTGAGGTGCCTGCGGGGAGGTTTTTGACCAACTGTAATGGGTTCTCTTTACCATGGGCATCGAGCAGATCTGGGTTTCAGTTCCCACTTCACCACTTGTTGCTGGTAATCTGGGGCAAGGCCCTTGGCCTCTCTGAAGCCCAGTTTTTTTTTTTTGAGACGGACTCTCACTCTGTTGTCCAGGCTGGAGTGCAGTGGCACAATCTCGGCTCACTGCAACCTCCGCCTCCCGGGTTCAAGCAATTCTTGTGCCTCTGCCTCCGGAGTAGCTGGGATTACAGGCTTATGCCACTACTCCCCGCTAAATTTTGTATTTTTAGTAGAGACAGGGTTTCACCATGTTGGTCAGGCTGGTCTCCAACGACTGACCTCAGGTGATCCCCCTCCCTCGGCCTCCCAAAGTGCTGGGATTACCTGTGTGAGCCGAACCGCAGTTTAACATCTACCTCTCAGTATTCTTGTAGGGGTCAGAATAAATAACTGGAGGAGTAGGAATCATAGAACAAAGCCCCTGGGACGTAACAGCAGCCTTCAATGTGGAAAGTATTATTTTTCTGTTTCTGTGAAGGAAAAATGATTTCTTACCCCATTCTCTTTATACTGCATTTTCTTCTTTCTTTTTTTTTGGAGTCTTGCTCTGTCACCCAGGTCGGAGTGCAGTGGCTCTATCTCTGCTCACTGCAACCTCCACCTCCCACATTCAAGCAATTCTCTTGCCTCAGCCTGCCAAGTAGCTGGGACTACAGGCGCCCACGACCATGCCGGTTGAATTTTTGTTATTTTTGATAGAAACGGGTTTCACCGTGTTGGTCAGGCTGGTCTCCAAATCCTGACCTCAGGTGATCCACCCACCTTGGCCTCCCAAAGTGCTGGGATTACAGGTGTGAGCTGCTCCTGGCTTTGTATGTTGATTATGTATTTATTTTCTGTCTCCTTCCATTAGAATGTAAACTCCATGGAGGTGCAGATCTATTTTGGCCACTGTAGTGTCCTGATGGGTCAGAACAGTGCCTGACATCTAGTGGGTGCTCCATAAATATCTGTTGAATGAGTGAATGAATGGAGTCCACAGTATTAACCTGCACAGCAGGGTTAGGCAGAGACTCTTAGCCAGAGGGGAGAGATACAGAGGGAGGCCACACCCAGGGGACACCACAGCCCACGCCTCTGCCTGCAGTGACGCTAACCCACCTGACCTGGGCATTCTCAAATGTGTTCATGCTTTATTAGACTAGGAGAGCCACCAGCTCAGGGACTTCATCCACAGTACCTGCCTGGCCTCTTTGGGGATCGGGAGGGTTTCTGCTGGAAAGGCCCGGGGAGAAGGTTAGCCTCTTGCTTAAACTAGCGGGGAAGAATGCCCAGAATTACTAACCCCCCTTTTCTTTGTGTGTAAAAAAGAATGCTATTTTACAACTATAGCATATGAGGCCCAGTGGGGTGTAAGGCGATTTGTCCAATATTGTCCAACTCCCGGACCCCTGAGAGCGCGGCGACCCCGCTGTGAGTGGACAGGCACGCATTAGTGAGCAGTCTATGGATAAATGCAGGTCACAACCCCCTTTTCCGAGTTCTGCCTGCGCCGCCGCCCCGTTTGGGTTGGGAGGGGCATCCGGGGGTGTGGGGGCTGCCACAGCCGGGTAGGTGACCTCGCGCAGTTGGAGCGCTCGGATCTTCAGGCCTGTGGGCCCGGGGTGCAGGGACCCCGCCCGCCTGCAGGGCCCGGGCTCAGCTCTCCCCGCCCACCGCGAGGCGGGGCGCACGCTCCCCGGCGTGGGGACCGCGCGCTCCAGGCTGCACCCTGCGGCTTCTCCGCGCGTGAGGGCCCCTCGCGGCGCCTCCCGGGCTCGGGAGCCCCTGGCCCGCCTCCCGCCCGGCCGCGGCCGCCTCTTCCTTTTGCAGCACCGCGGCGCTTGCCGCAGTCGCAGGCGGCGGAGCAGCCCGAGCGCCCCAGGTACCAGTGAAGGCGGGAGGCGGAGGCGACCCTGCGGCCGGGTGGGGAGGGGGTGCCGCGCCGCTGCTGCCCTCCTCTGCCCGCGAGGCCTGGCGGCCCCGGCGAACCCCCCGTGCTGCACGGGCCGTGTGCGCCCGATCCCGGTGCCTCCGGTGCGCCAGATTCTGAGACCTGCCTTTCCCCGAGGGTCTTTGCTCCCGCCCCTAGGCCGCCGCTCTGCGTACCTGCCCTGGCGCCCAAACGCCCACCAACTGCCGGGAGCCTGCTCCTGCCTGAGAGAGCTTATTCAACCCGGGCTCTCACCTCCCACGCTCTGCCCCTGGCCGGACGCCCCTCCCCTATCTTGCCGCCGGCCCCCTCCAGGGGACTCTGGTCCCACCCCACGGCGCCCAGGCTTCCTCCTGCCGCTTCCTTTAGGGGCCTCGGCTTATCGGGTGCCCCTCCCCAAACTTCCAACTCGTTTGCTCCAGGTGTCCCTGCCCCACCCCCGAAGGCGCCCCAGTAGCCATTCTGCGCCCTGCTGTGGTCGCGGCCCCCTGACCTAGCGGGACCCAGGGCCCCCGCCCATGTCCCCCAACCATCCTCCCCCGGGGGGCGTGGTGAGTCGCAGTCTGTTCTCACGGACAGTGCCCGTCCAGCCTGCGCTTCGCCGGGCTCCGCGCCTGCCTTCCCGCCACCCGATCACGCCCTCACCCTCCACCCCGGTTCCCCATGGTCCCAGAGCCGGGCCCCACCGCCAATAGCACCCCGGCCTGGGGGGCGGGGCCGCCGTCCGCCCCAGGGGGTAGCGTCTGGGTGGCGGCCGCGCTGTGCGTGGTCATCGCGCTGACGGCGGCGGCCAACTCGCTGCTGATCGCGCTCATCTGCACTCAGCCCGCGCTGCGCAACACGTCCAACTTCTTCCTGGTGTCGCTCTTCACGTCCGACCTGATGGTGGGGCTGGTGGTGATGCCGCCCGCCATGCTGAACGCGCTGTACGGGCGCTGGGTGCTGGCGCGCGGCCTCTGCCTGCTCTGGACAGCCTTCGACGTGATGTGCTGCAGCGCCTCCATCCTCAACCTCTGCCTCATCAGCCTGGACCGCTACCTGCTCATCCTCTCGCCACTGCGCTACAAGCTGCGCATGACGCCCCCGCGCGCCCTGGCTCTAGTCCTGGGCGCCTGGAGCCTCGCCGCGCTCGCCTCCTTCTTGCCCCTGCTGCTGGGCTGGCACGAGCTGGGACACGCGCGGCCACCCGTCCCGGGCCAGTGCCGCCTGCTGGCCAGCCTGCCCTTTGTCCTCGTGGCGTCAGGCCTCACCTTCTTCCTGCCCTCGGGTGCCATATGCTTCACCTACTGCAGGATCCTGCTGGCCGCCCGCAAGCAGGCTGTGCAGGTGGCCTCCCTCACCACCGGCATGGCCAGCCAGGCCTCGGAGACGCTGCAGGTACTCAGGATGCGCAGGGAGACCCGGGCTGTGGGATGGAGAGGAACGAGCGGTCCAGCAGTCCCTGGGGATCCCCTGGGCATCCCCACTTAGCACACATTTGCTCATGGCCCTGCGTGGCTGTTGTGAGCACCCACCTTTCTTCTGAACTCCAAACTCAGTGCCTGACCCACCCACCACAGGATAGCTCCGTCAGGATCGGGGGCAGGCTTCTCCGAGGTACCATGTACAACCGGAAATTTATGATGGCCTAACTCCCCATCTTTACCTGGTAGCATCATCGCGCTGGGTTCTTTTGTTGTTGTTGTTATTGTTGTTTTTTAAGAGACAGGGTCTTGCTCTGTCACCCTGACTGGAGGGCTGGAATGCAGTGGCGTGATCATAGCTCACTGCAGCCTAGAATTGATCATAGCTCATTTCAGCCTGGAGAGCTGGAATCATAGTTCACTGAACTCTTAGGCTCAAGTGATCCTCCTGTCTCCACCTCCCAAAGTTCTGGGGTCACAAAAGCCCCTGGGTTCTTAAAAAGGAGCGTTTCACAAGCTTCAGGCATTCAAGAACCGCCTGGGATATCTACCTTACTGCCTCTCCCACCGCCACCTCCACAAGCACTTAGCACTTCATTTGTTTATTTATTTGACACAGGGCCTCACTATGTTGCCCAGGCCGGTCTGGAGCTACTGGGCTCAGGCAATTCTGCTTCAGCCGCCCACGTAGTTGGAATTGCAGGTTGCCCCGGTGCCTGGCTTTCTTAGCATTTTCTTTAAATCATCTCTTTAATCTTTTTACTTCCATTAATTTGTTTAGAAAGAAAACTTTGTATTTCTTCTAGAAATGGAAAATCTGTATCCTTTGCTATAAAAAGAAGGCATCACAAACACTACTTCAGTGAAGTTGAAGAAGCCCCACCCCTGTCCCTGAAATGCAGCTTGGTGAGGTTGAGGTGTTGAGCCTAGGGCTTGCTTTCTCTTTGTAGAGTGCTAGAAGGTATTACAAACATGGTAGCATCAACGTGGGACTTACTCTTGATGCACCTAGAAGAGCTGGAAAAGAGCTGTAAAGGGCCGCCGTGCTCACTCTGTGATTCATTCATTTTATGGGGTGTCCCTTTACCATCTAAAATCATCTCCATTCCCATACTTCAGAAAGTTCTGCTCTCCTGACTAAGGATGTGAGAAGTTGGCTGGTCTGGGTGAAGCTGGGGTGAAAGAGATTAGGATTGCTGGTTCCAGCAGTGCCAGTACCACACAGATTTCCCTTCCACGAATCTCACTGGCTGGTACTAGGATTGAACCTGTGTCTGTGGACTTGGAACCTGGGCAGGAGTCTCCCAGGTGCTAACAGCCGCAGCCCCACAATCTGTGAACACTCACTCTACACCAGGCACTAAGATAAGCTTATTAACCTCCAAACACTCATTGAGGCAAGTCCTACCATCACCCCTGTTAGACAGGTGGGGAATCTGAGGCTCAGAGAGAGTGGAGGTTATTTGCCCAAGATTGCACAGCTGGTAAGTGAGGTTCAAACCTGGATCTGGCTGGGGCCATCGCTCTGTGCTGGTGTGCTGCCTGTGGGCAGTGATGCTCTGGAAATCTGTGTTCAGACACCCCATACCTCGCTCCCTTTCTTCTCTGTGCCTTCTGGTCTCCTCCATTGGTTCCTCCTGATCCACCTCAGCCATGACATCCCTGGGCCTCAGTCCTCGAAGCATCTCATCCTTTTTCCACATTTGCTCCCTAGTGACCTCATCTTGTCTCATAAGTGAAAATACCACCCACGCACTGATGACTTCCTACCTGGGCTGCTTACTTGATGCGTCCCCAGCAGAACTCCGGATTTTCCAGGCCCCAGACCTAGTTCCCCCATAGTCTTCTTCATATCAAGCAATGGCAAGTCCATTCTTCCGGCTGCTCAGGCTGGTGGTGTTGGGGGCAGCCTGTGTGCCTCTCTTGTTTCTCACGGGCCCTGGCATTTCTCACCTTCCCATTGCCATGCCCCTGGACTGAGCCCCTCATCTGCTGCCTGGGTTATTGCACCAGATGTTAGTTACTCCTAGAGATGATTTAAAGAAAATACTAAGAAAGCCAGGCATGGGGGCAAGCACCTACAATTTCCGCTACTAGGGAGGCTGAGGAGTTAGTTACTCCTGACTTCCTTTTTTTTTGTTTGTTTTTGAGACAGAGTCTCACTCTGTCACCCAGGCTGGAGTGCAGTGGTATGATCTTGGCTCACTGCAACCTCTGCCTCCTGGGTTCAAGCGATTCTCGTACCTCAGCCTCCTAAGTAGCTGGAATTACAGGCACGTGCCACCATGCCTGGCTAATTTTTGTATGTTTAATAGAGATGGGGTTTTGCCAGGCTGGTCTCGAACTCCTGACCTCAAGTGATTTGCCCACTTCTGCCTCCCAAAGTGCTGGGATTCCAGGCGTGAGCCACCCTACGGGATCCTAACTGACTTCCTGATTCCTTTCTTGCTCCCTTTCAACCTTCCACAGAGTCCCCAATGATCCCTTTGTAATGCAGTTCCTGCCGAGTCATTCCTCTGCTCTGGTGGCCCTGTGTCTCATATCACCTGGCCCTCTGCCCTATCTGGCCTCCTCTCCTTCTGTAATCCCCCTTGTTTCCTCTCTTTCAGCCACACTGGTCTCCTTGCTGTTCCTTGAACGCACCAAGCACATTCTGCCTCACTTGCGGTTCTTTCTGCCTGGAGCACCCTTTCTTCAGTCTCCCGCCGATTCTCCCCCTAATTTCCATCATTTCCTTCTAGTCTCTGTTCAATTGCCTCCCCTAATCCCTCTCTCAAGAGTAGCACTTGCCACCCTCCCCAGGTCCTCTGCAGTCCTCGTTTCCTAAGATTTCTCTCTTAAGGCAGTAGCACCTCCTATCCCCTGATGTGTTCTATACCAACCCATTTTTATTTATTTACTGTTTGTTTACTTCCATCTTCCAGAATTTAAGCTCTGTGAGGGTAGGAACTTGTCTTAATTTCTGTTTCATTTTTTTCTTTTGGGAGACGGAGTTTCGCCCTGTCACCCAGGCTGGAGTGTAGGGGCATGATCTCAGCTCACTGTAACCTCTGCCTCCCAGGTTCAAGCAGTTCTCCTGCCTCAGCCTCCCAAGTAGCTAGGACTACAGGTGCATGCCACCACGTCGGGCTAATTATTTGTATTTTAGTAGAGACAGGTTTCACTGTGTTGCCCAGGCTGATCTTGAACTCCTGAGCTCAGACAATCCACCTGCCTCGGCCTCCTGAAGTGCTAGGATTACAGGCGTGAGCCACTGTGCCTGGCCTGTTTTCCACTGTGGTCCCAGGACTTAGGGGTACCTGGCACATCGTAGGTGCTCAGTATGTATTTATGGAAGGAATAGAGTGAACACAGTGCTTCAGGGAGCCTGGGGCTCCACACCTGTTCACGTGGTTGCCTGTTTTCTCATGGCTTTCAGAGTCAGTTCTTGAGTGTGACAGTCCTGAGCTTTTTATCGTGTGAATTCATTTGCTTGGTGACATGTTTTGACACCTGCTTTGTGCGGCAGCTCTTCTAGGCTGTGGATGTGGTGGTGAATGAGACTGACAGCACCTGCCCTCTTGAAGTCTGTTCTAGCTGGGGGGACAGACAATAATCATCAGACCCTATCATGATGAGGATTACAGAGCTTGTAAGAGGGGTGCCTCGCTCGGCACACATTCAGTCTATTATTCACTGTGTATGTTTGAAGATGAAAGCAAAGCACTCACACAGAGCCCTGAAGTGAAAGTCTGGAGGCGTCTTCATGGGCCGTTTAGACCAGTGCCTTACCTCTAAGGCAGATGACCCAGGGGCCTCTCAAGCCAGAAATGTGTCTGTTCTAATCCTCCCATTTTCTGGAAAGCCCATTCTTTTGGTTTGAACGTGACATGTGCAAACCCTGCCTCTCCCTGCTTTCAAAACCGCTTGGCTTCTTGCTTCTGGGATGCTGCCTTTACTCCACCCTCTTGGGTCATGCCCCTTCCTTCCCACCAGAGCTGGCTTGGAGGTGGAGGCCCCTCAATGTTTGGAGCTAAAGGAAGTGATGAGAATGAATCAGATGTGGGTGCCTTGGACCCCTTCCCTTCTCCTGTGCCCGGCCCCACTTAGCCTTGGCTTCCTGCCCCAGTCCAGCCTCCAGCTTCCCTGCAGAGGGAAGGGAGCTGGGCATAGGTCCCGAGGCCCCAGTTCCTCTGGGGTCAGAACATGGGAGCTGGTCAGCCTTGAGCATTTCATCTCTCCACATGTCTATTTATGGAAACAGGCTTTTAAAAGGCCACTGGTTGGCTTAGGGGTTTCTACCAGGTCTTCCCAGTACCTCAGGGCTGGGAGGAAGGGGTCCTGCTTAGCCCTGGGGCTGGGAGTGCGGGCTGGGGATGGAGGAAGGGCTGTGGGACAGAGTGAGATGCTGCCAGGGAAGCGGAGTGTGCGTGTTGGGAGCAGGCTGGAAGATGGGGGCCTGGATGTGGGTGGCACTCAGCCACTCTTGGGAGATACCAGAGGGTCCAAGGTGTTAGAGATGGTTTCGGAGATGCAGCATGGGTCATCGGCTTGAGGGAGAGCAGCAGGAGAGGCCCAGCCTCTTTCTCTTCCTGGCAGGATTTCTGGGTCTCTGTGGCCCATAATCTCATCCCATCTCTGCACCTCACCTTCCTCCCCACTCCTACCCACCCTTCTCTCCTTCAGTTTCCGTGGCTTCCTTCTGTGCACCCCTGTCTTTCCCTCCCCCCTCCTCTCCCATCAATTTCTCCTGCTTTTCCTCCTCCCCCTCCTTTTCACCTTCCCTCACCCAACTAAGCATCATTCTGTCTTAATGATCCATCTTCCCTTCCATCTCTGCCTTTCCTCCACAGAGGAGGAGGCTGTGATCACAGAAATATCTGTGAGGGGGAGGAGGGGGCCGAGCCAGGAAGAGCCTGGCAGAGTGACATTGCTCAGCATGGCAGGCTTGGCTGCTGCTCAGAGCCAGGCAGCTTGGTGCAGCCAGAGCTGGAG